AATAACACACACTTGTATCTCACACTATATTCCTATTGTTGTGTTGCAAGCATTAAGCCTGATATACAGCGTGTCGTTACCATCGCGACAATAAATGAACACACATATAGGGGATAACTTTTTAAAGTTGTATTAAACATTTAAATTCTTTAAACATCAATATTTACAGAGTTATTAAATTTTCCAAAACAAAGAATTTTAGAACATCCTCGCGTATAAAACGCGTAACGTAAAGTTCATTTGTAAAGGTCACAAAGCATATGAATGGGTTGAATGAATTTAAAAGAGACAAAACATACTGTTAGAAGGAGAGGCTTGTAATGCGACGCTGTGGCGCGAGTTTTATAGGTGTTACAAATTTTGTCTATTTTTTACTTAATTAGTTTGTTTGAAAAATATTTTTTTTATTTATGGATTTTGTTTAATTTTAATATTTTTTTATGATTATTGGCACGTAGCGTTAGACGTGTGTTCATTTATTGTCGCGATGGTAACGACACGCTGTATATCTCCTGTACAGTAAAGTGTAAATAAATAATATAAAACATAATGGTGCCAAAAATTAATAATTGCACTCCGACAACCAATACAGCCTCTAACTTGCACAACATTCATTTAAACAGGGCTATATTAGCAATACTAGTTAGAGCAAACCAAGTGCAAAAACAATAGACATTAGCGGAGTCATGCCAAACTGTGCCATTTTATCGGTCATCTGAAATATATACACCTAGTGATAATAAGAACAGATCTGTCACGAATATGTAGTAGAATGTATAACAAAACAGTAAAATGTTAGATCACTCATTTGTTCATTGTTAGACCTTAGAGACCACGTACGTTTCCGAAGCCCATGGACATCTATAATACCGGTAGGGATGTAAACGCGTTGCCAACTATTAAAATTATGGAACCTGTTTCACTAGACTAAACGCAGTGTACACAATTCTACTACTTTACGTCTGTCTACTGCGGGGCCTGGTAGCTAGCGAATCTGATGTTAAATGATAACCGCCGCCCATTGATATTGCAATACCCTTAGGGCTGCAGATGCGGTTCCTTTCGACTTTTTAATAAAGTGGATACGAGCTACCTCACTCACCACACCAAACGCGGAAGTATATATTATATAACTTCCACTTTACGCCGGTCTTCTGCGAGGTCGTGGTACTTCCCCAGATGGACCTGCTCATTCGTGCAACAGCGAAGACTGTTGCGTGAGCCTACAACAGTGAAGCTGCTTAGTGGCACAGTCAACCTTAACAAACTACGGATATTGTGTTGCACTGGTTCCTCGTGAATATTAATCTTAAGAATGGTTCATGTTTTCGTCAATCTGATTGCTCAGAAACCGATTAAAATAAATTGTGTAAAAGTTGACAATTTACATACAAGGTGAAGGCGAAATGGTCACATTTTGGCAACAATATATATCGTCCAAAGTAACTGCAAAGGTTATCGCATTGCGGACATTTGCAAAGTTTCAAGACTGAGCTACGGGATTTGCAATATTGTGCTTTGGCTAATACTACATCAAGAGAACGAAATAGTAAAGTTTCTGAGACGAGGAATCTGGAAAGTTAGATTTCACCTGGTGATCTGCCAATCCCGGAATCACTATTTCGGGAATTGTGGATAAAAGAAGGTAAATTAATAGTGCCTGTGAAACCAACATCTATAAATATTGCTTCCAATAAAGTAATTCGCGAAACAAACCCCTATAAATTTTGCTACAATTTAAATAACACTTAAAATGATATGGAAACAGGAGAAAACCGAAACGGTCACGTTATATCGCGTCATGAAGGTAAAGCGCAGCTTTATTTTATTTGAACAATGATATTATGCATAACAAGACGACCTTTTTTAGAAGTCTTAAGATAACGTTCTACAAGAGCAGATAAAAACTGTTCGTGAAGAGCAGTTCAACGGGGGTATTGCTATGTAAGAAATATACAAACCGAGTTGAGCGAGGAACATTTTGAAAGCAACCACACAGCACATTGTGCATTGACGAGTCATGTCACGCTTTGTCGAGCCCTTTTATGTGAAATAGCTTTGCATGAAGCAAACAACGAATTCGATACGCTTAAATAATGAAATCGGTGAAATTCATAATAGCAAAATATAAGCTAACCAATTTATGGAAAAACCATCATTCCTATACGATAAAATATTAATATCATTCTTTAGAAACACGAATAGAACATCATACATTCGATGTTAGAGTTCGGGACTTTATCTCTATCTCGTTAAATCTTTCATACACACAAAAATCTTCAGCGAAAAGAAAGCCAACATTTGGCATTCGTCGATCGAAGAGACATCCACCGCATTATTGAATAATACAGTTTGAAAACGCGAGAAAGTACATTGGATATCTCCATCCGACGCGACGGGTCAATTATTTACCGTTAAGTTTAAACTGACCGACCCTCGACATCTGACTCATGATTGACGTCCGCAATCAATGCGGACTCGTCATGAAAAGTTACCGTCAAGTAAGTTACAAGTTAGTAAGGTCTGCAACATTAAAATATAAGAGTAATAAAGTATATTTATGCTAACGTATACCGTATAAGAAATAATAATGGATGAAGTATGCCAAAATGTAAACAAAATAACATGGTTGTTGATGATTAATGCTAAAGTAACGTTCTCGGTGAACAGGAAATTCTTGATAAATCATTAACTTTATACATTATTAACTTTACCCGCAGGGTCTCACGGTTTTTTTTTTAACATAAATTAATTCACATGACAAAAAGTATCTAACGCGTGAATATCGCTTAATTAACCTATCTCCATTCAAGATTCAGCACTAATTCTTTCAACTGTTGCGGTTTAAAGAGGAACGAATATTTAAAGGCCTAAACGAAGCCTTCAACTAATCGAACTAGATTGTTTTATGTGATAAGGTGGGAAGCGAGCTGGCGGTTCACCTGATGTTAAGTGATAACGGCCACCCATGGAAATTTGCGACATAAGGTTGCAGGTGCATTGCCACCTTTTAGTAAGTGGGCCCCGCCTACCTCACTCTCCAGACGAAACGGAAAAGTGTCATACTTCCACTTCACGACGGTCTTCTGCGAGGTCGTGGTACGGAATGTTGGGTGGCGCTACCACACCCGGCCGAATCTCGATTATGAGACCTATAACGCAACACAGTATTTTTCGGGTGCAAATAACTGTATTATACTTACGCGTAACTCACACCCCCCGACACTGAAGTCTAATCGCATTGGCGATTAAATTAAGGGGAAGAGGACCTACATTGGCTTCGGAACGAGCGAGATTAAATTTCGGACATAATACCCGGTCAGCCGATGTTTCATGGCGGAAATATCGTTGTGGAATGTCGATAACAGCATTGCTTACGTTGTTTTTTTTAAATTTCAGCTAACGAGCAAGTGGTTTACTTGTTAAAAAGTGATTAACCATAATGACGATTACAATCCTGTTGACCAACTTCATGGAAGCTTCGTACCGCCAAGATGGGATCAGCCGTTTGTTAATGGTATTGGATAGGTTTTTCGCGACCAGTCGGATACCGGGCGTCAATCCTCTTTAGACATCAACATTTAAATCAGGAACAATTATCCGTGGGAACCGAACCCACGAACCCGTCCCCGAACCAATAGCTTAGAAACTAAGCCACCGAGTCATGAATTCCGATAGGGATTGTAATAGTATTTTTGGTATTTGGAAAACAATTGTCCATGTCACTTGAACAATTAATGTAAAATTATTAAACGGTGTCACCTCGCCAAACCGCCCATTACTTTTGCATGACTAACACGAGTCGTCTATTTTTAAAACGGCCAAGCAGAACCCAGCACAACGTTAACCGAGCATAATTTACATACAAAAACATGACGGAGTTTGTCCTCATATACATATAAATAAAGGGCACGACTCGACAAGTTCATTCGACAAAACTTTGAACCTTGAAATCTTTAGTCCGTGCGGCAAACGGCGTATTTATGTATAAGAAAATATAGCAAATATTTACGAGTAAATCACATTAATTTACCAAATAACCTTTAGTTTTAAGGTATTTTATTTTCATTAGATATAACAATATGTTGATATAACATAGGAGGACCTCACTGCGGATTGGCAGACTACACATATCCTCGAAATATTTTTTTTTACATTATTTCGGAAATATGCAGGTTTCCTCAATATGTTTCTCTTCGCCGTAGCAAATAAATCAGCATTTAAAATTGCAACTATCAATTTTATTGGTGCCGACACCGGGACTTGAACTCTGGTCGCTAGAATATACTAAATTAAAAGCGAATTACCACGGAACCTTATCATTATATAAACCTGTACGCGAATAAATTGGTTATTTCTATGAAAGGATTACAAAGAAAGTGCTCTACGTAGCCGGGAAATGCCAACGCAGAATAATGATGCGAGGGGAAAGCTTTAAAAAACCTAAATAGCAAGTGCTAGGCATTACTATTGCTTCAACAAGCGTTCAGAGGCAGCTGACAGAGCAATATCACTGCAAAAAGCAGCGGTATATAATGTAGTAAACGTGTTAACACTCATCTCGCTTTAAATTTTTATTTTTGTTAATAAGACATCCATTTATATTATCGATGAATCACGTTTATTATCGTTAAGTATTTTCTACTATTATCCGATAGTTTATCACGAGTCGAGTGCGTATGATAAATCTAAAAACAAACTAGGTATTTGGGTGTAGAAATCGGCACTATGACACCGTTTACAATCACTTGAAAGCACATAACAAACTCCTTATAGTTATAACCCGAAATATTCTTTATAAGTAATTAATTAACACTCGCAGAGCGAATGCCCTTTATTACAATAAAAAAAAGATTCGTACGCAATCGTTTTGTACACTACCCGCAATTCGAAGGCATTAAAATACGTTTGACACTTCAGTTTATTTAGACAAAAAAAAAAAAAACATTCTCGCTTGACGAACGCTTTAAAACTTGTATAGTCACGATTTTGCAGTCTCAAAAGGCATCATCGATCCGGCGCATTTGGACGCGCGCCAAGGGACGAGCAGTGACAACAAACGGCTTCGTTGAAAGCGTTAGCCAGTTCATACAGACCATTCGGGTGACGGTGGTGAGGTCCCAGGCGGACCTCGTCTTGCCCCGGGGCTGAGTGCCGTCCTTCCTGCGGCCCAGCGAGCCGTAGCCGGTCGGCACGGTCGCGTCTTCCCGCCGCCGCCTCCCGCCGCGTCTCAACGACGAGAACCAATTCGACACGGAACCGCGTCGCTCCTCTTCGTCGGCCCCAGGGCCGGCCTTGATGAACATAACTCCTATCTAGTGCCAACGCACACAGCACATCACACACTAGGCGGAACACTACCAGCGCCGCGCTGTTAGTAAAGCCACGCGAACCTATAAGCGGCATCCAAACAAAACGGCGTATAGTAAAGCGGCGAGGAGAAAAGGCAGCGCGCGTGGGCGCTTGCCGGTCGGATGTTGCCAAAATGGTGGCGGGGTGAAGCTAGACGACGCGCATGTCGGTTGCAATCGGGGCACGAGTAGCGGCCCCAGTGGACACACCTGGTCGTAGCCGTCGTCGTAGGTGCGGGCGGCGCGCGCGCACCGCGTCAGCAACGGCCACCAAAGAGCTCCGCACAGCAGGCGCACGTGCAGACACATCGCGCGCCATACACTTCCCGCTAAGGAACGCGACAGACTGAGGGCGGCCGCGAACGTCGCCGCGGCTTGGCACCGTGACAGCTATACACAGCTACGTATCTCTTATCTCTACACGTTGCGCGTACGACACTCCTTGCGCCGGTGACGCTTATCGCAGAGCGTAATACTATTGTCTTTACTATCCACGGTGCCCCTTCTTTGGTTTAATTTTGAAAGGTAAACAGCACAGACCTCAATTCCACTACGTAGCCTATACATATATATATTTCCTTAACAATACAACGGTGCAAATTTTAATGATTTAATTAGAAATGTGTAATTCTTTCCTTTATCAATAAACAATATCAAATAACTATTTGATTATGTATTGTATAAATTACGCACCATACATTGAGCATAATTTGGAAAACGGTTGTTATCAAATAACAAACTATTCCGCGGAAATTGAAAAGGAAGTTTGATAAAAACATGAATCGAAAACGTCGCCCAATCCTATTATACAACTACCGTCATAACTCCACGGAATTAACATGTTTTCTTGAATTATTTCGATTTCTTCCCAAGCTAAATATTTACGCGACAGATAAGCCCGAATAACGATTATATATAAAAATATATTTCAAATACTCCAACATTTACCACATAATGAAAGTTACAAATAACTTCATAATTATCGGGTACATTAAATTAACTAAATAACAATACAACAATCTAGCTAACATTCAATAGGAGTCTTTATGAATTATTTAGTTAGCCAATCACTGGGCCTAATATATTTCATAGATTCCAAGAATTATGATGATTCATTCCATTTTGTCAGATCTGCATTGCAGCAGGGACTTCTGTTGCCATCAAACTGTACTCAATTGGTAAAATATATTTTTAGTTGAAAATGATTCAAAAAAATTTCCTCAATGATATCAATTGATAATCAGCCAATCATTGTGTTTGTTTACTAATTACAAATGTTACGTATTGTATATTAAAAATTCACTATATTTAATTAAAACCAAAAATAGTAAATTAATAAATTAGAAAAAAATCGCAACCGAAATCGCATCGTCTAACTTCACCGAGACCTTGCCAATAAGGCAAATACTAAGGCGGCTAAATTTCCACTCACTGCTTTATTATAAGCTAACTTTATGAAATAACACTATATTTTGTATGACACTTGAACTGTTGTTAAAATAATTGTACACTTCACATAATTCTATTCAACGCACTATACGCGGAATTAGATATTGATAGTAAAAGACCGGTATTAGCGAGCGACGTTACACGGCCCTACCCGATACACCTATGCCGCGCTCTGACAGCAAGCAGCAACTGACATTGCCCGACCCGATGCCGTTCGCGATTTACCGCTCGCGTTGTATCAAATTCATGACTGTACCTACTACATGCCCCTCTCTCTCTCTCTCTCTCTCACTCGGACGTAGTAAACGGGCATTGACGGCTTACGTCAAAATGAACCGCGTGTTTGAATGAAACTGCTGGTTAAACACGGACGATTTTACAAATATAAAATGATACACAATAAATAAATAATACATACTTAATTAGTATGAGACCTGGTTCGATTTTGGCGTCTTAAGTTTTTTTTATACAACAAGTATTGCCATTTACAAAATTAAAGACCTAAAAAGGACCATGGAAAGATTTTGTATTAAATGTAAAACTGTTGATTAATTCACTTGTTAAAACAATCAAACTGATACTCTTCTAAAAAGAATATGGATAAAAAATATGATACAGTACTAAAATAGTTTATAACAACATATATTATTACAGATGATACTGTTATGTTTATACTGTTACAGCCAATGTATCTTAACCCAAAATAAATTTTGAGTAGTGTATAGATTTACCATGTAATACAAATAATAATTATTATAGTCCGCTGTTTGCTTTCTACAAAGAAAGGATTGACTGACAGTGGGGTATGATGGTAAATAGTATTTGATAGATTAGAAAGATATTAAATCAAAGATATGATTGGTTGTCACAAGTAATAGATATTTAACAAAAGTTATATTCTACCGAGGTGTTTCATAGTAACCATTATTCATGTTAAAAAAATATGTTGTAGGTCATTGCTTTTCATTTTAACCTTAATGTTTGAAATTCAAATTTCAATATTCGGAAGGTAACAAACTTTTCAGATTACATGTACACACTCGATGAAAATTGTAGTTGGATAAATGAACTAATGGCAAAAAAAAGTACATCATATAACACCGTTTATTCCAGTGTGATAAAAATCATGAACATCATTTATTTTATGTTGTTAGTTTATGTCGATTAGATAAATCAGTTAGCTCTTGATTGCCCTTGTGAATTATACAATCAGCATGATAAAATATAATTGAACACCTCTCAAAAGTATGACTTTTTTCATTCATAAAAAAATCTACTTAGCTAAAAATCTTTAGATTTTATACATAATAATACATTTATCATATGGGTTCCTTGGATGGTTTTAAAGACAATTTTTTAAGAAATTCAAATTATAAAAACACATACCAAATGACACGATTCTTATAGAATTCATAGGTAATTTATTAATTTATGTAAAAGATATTTATCAGGTGTGTAAAATGTTTCTAATAGTTACGACAAAATCACTCCTTACCTGGATTTCCAACAGTAACTCTGTTTTCCTGCGTCTTATATCTATGAGGGTTTTTTGTTGATCAGGTGTTAACTCTGAAAGAAATAATTCCCTGATATAGTATGTAATCATTATTTACTTAAAGCCCAGTGCATTGAGGTCATAATTATATGACGAAGAATAATGCAACATAGTATCATGTTAAAGTTACCAGAGTGAGTAAAAGGATCTGCATGATTACTAGCAGGATTATTTCCCCCAAGAGACAAATTTTCGAATTCACTTATCATGTCTTAAAATTAGTAAAAACATTAAACAAAAGTTTACATCGTTAATAACTGACTGACGGCCATATTTATTTACTACTCTGACTACTCATCAGCAGTCAGAATCAGATGCGGTTGCGTTCTCGTTTGTTGTTTGTTAATTTTATGAATGCATTATTTTTTATTTATCAAATAATGAAAGCATTTAAAATTCGAATAACCCGTTTTGTTAATATTTAAAGAAATATATTATATTATATTATAGTGTGCAATATTGTTTTTTTTTAAATAAAATATGTAACAATCACAGTAGTTCTTCAATCACATCATCTATCTGTAATTTGAGAATTTCGGATTGAAATTTTATTAATAAACATTTTATTGTTAAAGAGAATAAAACTATATTATTTCATGAAATCATGAAAGGACTCAGCTCTATGCGCGCCCCCTAGTATTAACTTATATTTTTGAATCAATCAAATTTCAAAGACCAATTAAATTAATTACGTCTAAAAAGAAAAAAAAATAGGTTTTAATATATCATAACGTTATGTTCTTAGGTCAAATAAGTTAATTATAAGTCAAAGACAAAACATTAGTTGGATGAATTCACTTTTTTTCTCAGGAAGTTCATGTATTGATTTCAGTGACAATAAACAGTCCATAAACCATTGAAACCAGCTGAGGCGGCCAATCACTATTCATTTAAGTTTAAAAAGGAAATGGATGGAGATAGATGTTCTAATATATGGTACATATCTACCTAGTATATATGCTATTTCAAACTGTTATTAAATATTTAATATTTTTACAGCAGCTTCAGGCCTAAAGTAAAATTCTTATAAAAATATGTTTTTCTGTTATATGCCCTTTTAACGTTATGCTAATAACTGTGCATACATTTCTACATTACATTGATAATGTTGCATAAATATAACAGTATATATTTCTAAGATAATATAGATACGTCTGTGCATGCGTAGGTAGCCCCAACCAAGCCATCCCAGGCCGAGTGAGCGGTGAAGCTAGAATCATTCGTCTCGCTGCACACAGATTATTCGCAGCTCGCTGCAGTAACAGGGAAAAGAAGCATCAATTCGTGGTTGCCTTTAAGGGTGAGAAATGAACACGCCCTATAAGTGTTTATTTTGTTTGTGATTATTATTTCTTAAAATTAAATAATTATAAAAGCTTTGTGTTCGTGTATTACAAAGTGTAAATAATGTTTTGTTTTTAGATAAGTAAATTTCAAACGACGTAATTTCGCGTTGCCGGCACTCCTATTTTACAAACAAAATAATGAATGACAGTGGTTGCATTCACTTCAGTAATTTTAAGGCAGCAAAGGGTACAAATCCTTATAAAATTGTGCACGCATTTTTTGTGTCGTGCACTTCATTTGAAGCAAGAAGATACAAGGTAAATAGAATACTTCAATTACGTCGATAATTCACTGTGCTATAGCTTTCAATTACAAAGACAATGAAGCCTCTTAATGGCTTTTAAGCTCGATGCATTAAAATTAAATATTATGTTAAAAATAAATCTTTACGTGACTTTAAACCTTTGTCATTAACACATTTAAGCAATCAGCTGATTGGTAATCTTTGACCTCAAAACAGCTGTTTGCTGCCATTTCTTTTATTCCTTTGTTGTAAAAAATAGTACCTATACCAGAGTTTGCGTATTGTATGATGTATATTATATGTAATATTTTCAAAATTTTTTTTTATATAATGTGGGAAGTGTGATGGAAAAAATTATTTTCAAATTACAATGAAACATTTAATTTTTGAATTACTTGTAGATAAGTACAATGAAAATATTAAGAAATAAAATTTGTTAAAGGCTACATCATGTCTGTGTTTCACTTGTGGTCAGCCTGGACCACGCATGCATTCCTGTCTACACTGCATATTCTTTGCATGTTATGCTGGTCATATGCAAGACCATTCAAAATTAAAAAAACACTTTCTCTATGTGGACCTGAGCTTTGGAAATATATTTTGTGTACAATGCCAGGATTATATTTACGATAGAGAAATCACCGAGATTGCTATGGCACATAGAATAAAAGAAGCGAAGTAAGTATATATTTTACTAAAAGAACAATGATTTATTGCCTTCTTTATTTTCCATATTTCAATGGGTCTTGACAATACTTAAATAACTTTAGGGAATTATTCAGGAGATGTGAATGTAAAATTTTGCAATACTATGTCTAAGCCATCTTATATTGTGCATACTAAAAGGTTTTGTGTTTTTAATTTAGTGAAACAGTATTTAAAATATTATTACCCACAAATTTTTATGAGACCTTGATTGACCTCTATTTTGATTATGCAATGTTATGAATAACTCATCATTTTTTCATCCCCTTCAGGCTTTTTTTGAATGTATTATTTATGATAAAGTAATGTTGTGTTGATTGCAACTTCAATTATATAATAGTTAGTGACTCACACTTTACATTTCGTCAATGGCTCAGGAAAAAATATGAGTGTAATTGACTTAGTTTATTGTATTTTCTATATGATTTGAATAAAATACAGGTCTCTCGGAATAAATGTGCCATTTACACCATGGTTACCCAACAATAATGAGGCAATGGCTCTACGTCGCCTTCGTAAGAGGCGCCTCATCAGTCCACATACAACCATTGGACTGCGGGGTCTACAAAATCTAGGATCCACATGCTTCATGAACTGCATAGTTCAGGTATACACTTGTTACATACATTTTAATAATATCAATCCTTCCACTCATTGCTCTAGACATTTTAATAACTTGCAAGGTGAATATTATGTCATTATTAAGTGATTTCGAATTAAAATCAATTAATTTAGAATCAAGTGCCCAAGTTATGGATCTAAGCTTTACCCAAACTGAAATATAGGTACAATATTGTTAGATTTCATTTCGGTACAAATATAATATTTTCAATAGTAACAATACACTGATCGGTAATAAATCAAATGAACTTTTCTTCAGGAGTTCAACTAAGCCACTCAATCATTCATAAATCCTTTTAAGATGTACTTGTGTAGTACCGAGAATAGATCGTTGTCACCTCTTACGGTAATTATGTGACGCGCAATCTGAACTGATTGATGCAGATTGTTGCACATATTCTTTGCCCCTTTAATAACACCCACCCGCAGGCTTTGCGGAGTAATTATTTGTTATACGTATTAGTTTCTAGTATGCATTCGAAGAAACTGTCTTCTAAAATCGTAAAGATTTCAACGTATAATAACAGTTACAATTACATAGTTAATGCTAAAGGTTATCGTTCTGTTTTTCTCTACGACCTCAACGTAGTTCTTTGTCATTTGGGCCAGCGGCATTTCTCGAGTTTATCTCTGGAAAATCCATAAACGAAACACCTTTGAAAAAGTTTAATTGCACCTTTGTAAAAAGCAAAATGGTTGCTTTGATGCAGACTTAAAACGTTTGATATATTCGCTTTGCGTATTCGTCGATTCAAAAGGGAAGGTAGGGAAGATAATTTTGGCACATTATAATTAAAAAATATGGATGGTTAGATTGTAATGAAACAGATGCTCATTGTCATTTAATGTGAATCGACATCGTTGTGCAATAAAAAAATGCATTCCAATTTTAAAAAAGGACGCGTCACCCGCGCTTTCCTTACGCAGAGATAGAGTACAACGGCGCAACGCTGAAATCAATACTTTTAAAATCGCTGGAACTTTCGACCTTTAAAATATTAACGACGCAACAGCGCACTCGTGAAGGATCCGGCGCGAATCGATGATGTGAAAGAGCGTTCTTTATTTAGATATGATCGTTCATTGTGTATGCATTGGTTGATATACCGTGTCATATTTATTTGTTGTTGACGATATTAGTTCGTTGGCAACGCGATTCACATTGTACTCGTCGAAAATACCTTCGATGTGACCTGATTATCGAATAATGGGCCAATTTTATTTCTTCGTTGGGGTCAATTTATTTCTTTATCATACTTTGAATCGATATTTACTAATTCGAGTATTTGATAGATCTGGCTGAAATTTTCTCTTCATAAAATGGCATTAATCGTATTGCGTCGCATTGCGTAAATATATGACTCTATAATTGAATTGTATCTGATCAAGGTATGAGAAATAAAAAGTAATGAAAATAACAATATGACAATTTATTAATAATAAATTATCATATCTACTTTCAAAATGTTAGCTGTGTTAAGGTCATGTTCTTTCTTCTGCCCTTTTCCACCAAGGCATTTTGGAACAGCACGTGAATCATGTTATAAACGGTATTTGCTAGATTTTTATGACCGCCCTGACTGACGTCATTGGACAGACACAGATTCGGAAAAATTACGTGTGTCACACAAATACTTGCAAACGTGTCGGAATCGAACCCACGACATTAAGAATAATAGCTTAGCAACTGCGTCACCGAGCCATCAGCGCTGTGTTGAGGTCATTTTATGTAAAATCTAACGGAATGTAAGCGAATATGGAAATGTACCCTTTCCAGGCGCTAATTCATACGCCGCTGCTACGCGACTACTTCTTGGCCGAGAAACACAAGTGCAAAGTCGCAGGGGACCGGGAAATGCCTCGTTTGCGAGGTTTCCAAACTGTTCCAGGTAAATTTGCACATTAATTTTACATTTCTGCGATGTTAATTTTCATATAACCCGCGACTATTACATAGCGTAATGGACAATCGGTCAAAAGTTCATTCCTACTAAAAACTATTACAAATTGTCTTGCTACATTGTTTTAACTCCATTCGTTCTCATTAAACCAAGCATTGCTTGAAATTCGATAATATAATGTGGATAAAATACGTTGAGATTTTCGTCGGCGTGACAATCAGTCGTTCACTTTAGTGGTTATAAAGCCTCTGGGCGCGATTACGCAATTACCTGGTTTCGATTCCCGCAGCGGCAAAGAACTTTCCGTCCGTTTTCTACAAAATTTTAAATACCCATCATTCAGGTGGTCTGCTAGCGTGCGACAGGAAAATTCAAAGACATGCAAGTGTAGAACGTGGTAGGACCACGCAACAGTCTTGGCTGTTGCACGAATGGGCAGGTCCGATCTTACAGAAGACCTGGGTGATGTAGAAGCGTTTTTTCCGGTGTGTGAGGTAGCCGGGGCCCACTTTAATATGAGGCGGCATCGCAACTGCACAACTACGGGGGTTGCAAATGCCAATGGCCGGTGGCTGTCACTTAACATCAGGCGAACGGCGTTATGTAGAAGCATTAGACTGCTGCGTTTCGTCCGGCGAGGGAAGTAACCCTGGCCAACTTTATTATGAGGTGGGAACGCATCTGCAATCCGCATCGGGTTGCAAATCTCAATGGGCGGTGGCTATCTCTTAACATCAGCATCGACAGCTCGCTTGCCGCCTCAAATAAGAAAGTGTGCGTGTCCGCGTGCAGGAGTTCTACTCTGGCGCCAAGACCCCACTGACCCTGCACCGGCTGCTGCACCTGATCTGGACGCACGCGCGCCACCTGGCGGGCTACGAGCAGCAGGACGCGCACGAGTTCTTCATCGCGACCCTGGACGTCCTGCACAGGTACGTGATTCGTATTAACAACGATAAATTTGTTTGTTTATTTCTAACCGATACCGCTAACAAGCACGATTCACATGTTCTATCAACATCTTTTTTTTATTTATTTAAATTTGCATAAACAGTGGACGAACAGTTATTTCGCCGCTGCGGGAATCGAACCTATGTCTTCGCGCCCAAAAGTTTCCGTTACCGCAAAGGCGAAAACAATTGTAGTCCATTTTTCTACAAATTTTAATGTTATGTTTTAAGTCCAGAGTAAATAAAAACATTGCCTTACTTACTGATAAGGAACGTCGTAACATTGTCCTGTATTGGACCTGCTTTACACACATAAATTTCACGTTCACAAACATCCAGATCTGAAAAAAATTATGTGGGTCAAAACAAATGGTTGTCCTGTACGGGAATCAAACGCACGACTCCCGGCGCCGAAGCCGAAAATCTTGGCAACAGCGCCATGGAGTCATCAAAAATCTCAGTGGGATAAGGGCAGGAGAAGTAACATATTTCTTGATCTCTCACTGCAATATATGTTGTTATAAATGGTCACTGAACATGTTGATATGATTTGCATATTTTGGGAGACTGATGCACTAAACTCAGCTCAATACTTGATACTCTTTTGGGTGATCAGTTCTCCTTATAAATTATACAGTACATTATCAAACTTAAGCTTGTTTTGCACAAATGAGCAATCGTCTTGGTAAGTACCACGGTCACACAAGACCAGCATGAAGTGGACGTACTATACCTTCGCTTTCATCTAATGAGTGAGGTAACTGGGGCCCACTTTTTAAGGTTGTACATTGAAAGCCCTCGCCCTTATATGTATGTCCATGGGCGTTGGTACTCACTGTCAACTTTTCTTATATTATAACTTTACTCATAAACGAAAAACCAAGTACTGATCGCCGCCCCCGCTCAGGCACTGCATGAACGGCGTCGAGGACACGGAGAAGAAGGAGAACGGGCGCTGCAACTGCATCATCGACCAGATCTTCACGGGGGGGCTGCAGAGCGACGTGGTGTGCACCTCGTGCTCGGGCGTCTCCACCACCATCGACCCGTTCTGGGACATCAGCCTGGACGTGGCCGGCCCCGGGTCGCTGCAGGCCTGCCTCGAGCGGTTCACGCGCGCGGAGCACCTCGGCTCCGGCGCGAAGATCAAGTGCTCCAACTGCCGCGCGTACCGCGAGTCCACCAAGCAGCTGACCCTCGAGACGCTGCCGATAGTGGCCAGCTTCCACCTGAAGCGGTTCGAGCACTCGTCCCAGATCGACCGCAAGATATCGGCGTTCGTCTCGTTCCCCGCCGAGCTGGACATGACGCCGTTCATGTCGCCCCACCGGCGGCCCGACAAGGGCGCGGACAACAACAACACGGCGCCCGGCGGCCTCTTCCAGGACAACAGATACTCGCTGTTCGCGGTGGTGAACCATTTGGGCTCGCTGGACGCGGGCCACTACACCGCCTACGTGCGCCAGATGAAGGGCAGCTGGTTCAAGTGCGACGACCACATGATTACCAGGGCCTCGCTGCGCGAAGTGCTCGACAGCGAGGGGTACGTCGCCGGCGTCTTCACTTTGTCATTTTTTTTTTAAATATTGGGAATGATATAACACTATCCCGTTTGTAAAAAACGTAAATTTCACACGGACAAACACCCAGATGCGAAGCAACTATCTGTGGGTGGCAATAATAGTTGTCCCGTGTGGGAATCGAACCCACGACCCCCGACGCCGAAGCCGATACCTTAGCGACTGCGCCACGGGTCACCTTGTGTCTTTTTTTTTGTTTTTCGACCGACTTCGAAAACGGAGGAGGTTCTCAATTCGTCTGTTTTTTTTTTATGTTTGCCACCTCAGAACTTTCGACTTTGTGCCGAATTTAATGATTCTTTTTTTATTTGGAATCTGGTGCTTCCCACGTGGTCCCTTATTAATTTCATTGGTGGGGCTCAGGAGATACGCAGGGAACTCGTGAAAATCAATTATAAAAATTATTACAGAGCGAGATATTTGAAGTTTTGTTTTTCGTTTATAAAAAAATTGACTTGTATACAAAACGGAGGCAAACGAGTAAGCGGGTCACCCGATGGTAAGCGAATACCGCCGCCCGTGGACACTTGCAACATCGGATGAGTCAACTTAAAGGCGTTACCGGCCTTTTAGGTTAGTTGTAGGCTCTCCTCTAGAAGTTCCCAAGTCGTATCGGCCCGGAAACACCGCCGGCGACAGCTTGTTCCACAAACTAGCCGTGCGGGATTGAAAATACGTGCTAAAGCCGTGCATGAAGAACGCAATCCTTAACTTCTCCATTCTCGATCGGCTCTGTTCCTTTCGTTTGCGACCGTGGCAGAACTTGCTTTCCTTTGGGAAAGAATAAAAAAATAGAAAATATATGAACGCTTCGCGTATTTCAAAAAAAAAACCGCCCAAGTGCGAGTTGGACTATATAAACGACAAACAAAAACATGTCAGTTGCATGGGTGCCCTCTTAGATATTTTTTATTTTATTCTATTTTTTAGTATTTGTTTTCATAACGGCAACAGAAATACGAATGACGTCACCACAAACGTAGGCATCATGTATGTATTGACTGAATTGCTATAACTTTTATTTTCTACCCGCAGATACCTCCTGTTCTACCACAAGACTGTTATGGAATACGAATGCGACGGCTAAGGTGTCAAGTTCGCCGCCAGTGTCTCAACCGCCAAGACCAGCCAGCCCTATTCCTAGCACTGTCGTCGGATTTTGCTTTTCATTAGAGCCCAATCCTGAAAAAAACATACTAAAAGTCATTTTCTTGCGTGATGTTAGTGTGTAGACGGTGTATGAAGCGGTGGGCGCGCCCGTATGGCAGTTTCTTGTGGTTAAGCTTTAACTTAGACCTGTACGTTGGTTAAATCATTAAATTATTGCTATTCGACTGAAAGGATTCTCAAACGATTGTTATTTTTTATTATTTATAATTAATATTTTGTTTTAGAAAGCGAATTGTGTTGCGCGAACGCTATTCACTCTTTTTATCAACGCTATCTATGATCAATTTTACATAATTATGTCAGTTGTTTTACTAGGATTATGCGTCGGCTATAATTTTGCCTTATAACGCGTTTTAAGTTTATTTATGTCAAATCAAATTGTAAATAATATGTGGTATGATGGAAAATGAAGTAAATTGTAAAAAAAACTTAGTTAGAATGTATACATAATTAATGTGGCATGATTCAAATTGTTACTCGGTATTCTGGTATTCTATAGAACAAACACTTCAATCTACCTCGCTGTTTTATCTCTTACTTGCATTTGACTCTGTAGTGGTTTATGTAATTCTACAGTGTATCGCTTTTTAAATGGCTTAATTATTCCAGGTCTTATGTGTGAGTGTATCTAACAAAGTATTTAAACTATTAGGCAAATTTTCAATGTTCTCTATATTTTTGCAAAGACCATGTAAATTGATTCAAATGAGAACATAATGTATTTTTAATATTTATAAAAGATATCAGGTAAATCAATAGATTTGTACTTCTCACCATTGAACATGAATAAAAGGATTATGTAGAGTATATCACGTAATGTTGCGCTCATGACGTGTGTTTGTTTGTTTCAATATAGTTCATAAAGTATGACTGAACTGATTTAGCTTAATGTGATATTTAATATTTATAACCTGTATTTTAAAGGTAGTTAGTTTTATGAATTTCCTTTCCAGATATTAGTTTTAATATTGTTTGAATACAACGCTTCACTGTATTAGCAAATTGCAGCGTGTTTTAATGAGAGCATTTTTATATTATTATTTCTGCTTGGCGAAATATGCAATACTCAAGATGTCATAACTCATATTTTGAAAATAATGCACATTTATTTTGAACTGTTCCATTCGAATATATGCCTAAATCGCCTTTTGAATCCACGCAAATCCACTATGTCACGCTTATTTTATTACAAACTAAGCTACAACTAGCTTAAGATGAATTAGTACTTATATAATATTTATCAGTAGCTAAAAATGTGTGTGACATTAGTAGCAATCCATATTTGCCAATGCTCTAAACTCAACAATTTGCTAATATCTATGGAATGTTTTCTTTGCATTTACTACTAATTTAGTGAATTAGATCCGAGCCTAATCAATTTATTATCTTAAAACTATTAGCTCATAGTTAATAAATAATGTGATAGAATATGAAAATGGCATTTGTCTTCATGTCAGTGCCACAGTTTAATTCGAAACTTGTCTACTGGTCATTCAGCGTGGACAAAATATAATGTATACCATGCGTTCAAAGAATTTAGTTTGTAGGTGATAAGGATCTATGTTATACAGGTATATTTCGAATTAAGTGTCATTATTAGTATTTAAGACTATGAATATCCCGTATCTAAATTAAGACATAAATTAATCATGTTTCTTGGTGTTTGTATTTCCATATCACATTGTGATTTAATAATTGTATTAAATGTTTACTGTTCCCATTGATCCCTCTGAATGTCATACATTTCTGTATGGTCTCTTATAGAAAATAAATACACAAATATAATCAACTGAAATTAAAAACCGTTTTATTTTTCAATTTTTATTGTATATTGATATAACGTTACAATATAATAAGTATATATCACAAACCAATTTTGTTTTTCCAAACGCAATGGGCTGTATTTTTTTTATATATTCAATAAAACAAAAACAATAAAATTTTAAAGGAAAAAAAGAATAGAATAAATAAGTTATTTTTTTAAGTTATATTGAAAAACAAATTATGCTCCCATAATCTAGAAGTTGAACTTGCACATATTGAAGTGTTAGTAATACATATAAAATTAAATTATCAAGACTTCAAAGTTCTTTAAAGTTATATTTAATTTGAATATAACTGCGATTTAATGTTCTAAGAACTAAACTAACAAAAAGACATAATAATTTTTGATAAAATATTATCATTTCTATCACAATCAGACTAAATATCATGACCACTAAGTGGTGTATTTATTACTGTTTTATAATAGATATTTTGAATAAACATATAATCAAAATTAAAATTATTATAAACACCTTAAATAGTGACTAATATTCATGTTATTTCTATACACTACAGATTTTCTTAATGACTATAAAGTATTTAACATAAATCAGTGGTTATGAGAATTATCAATCAAATTTTTTAAAGCTGCTACTTAATATTGCAAATCAAATGTTCTCTTTTCACCTCAAATAAATAAGTTGTCGGAACATAAAGGTCTATCAAATGGTATCATTAATAATATTGTATCAAGCGATTTGGAGATGAATTCAAATCTCAATAATCACAAAGATAATTTCATATGTAAATCCACCATTGAATGGAGTACCTTAAAACAAGTCATGCACGATTAGTTCATTTTAACACTAATGTTAATTAACACTAGTGTTAAAATTAAAAATTCTCACAAAAATCATTATTAGAATCATAAAATAAAGAAGGCGGCAAAATGATGATGCGTTAAGACAAATCTATCTGACAGAAGCACTCTATTTCTATATTGATTATAGTAAAACCTTTAATATTTGCTACAGGTCTAATACATTCGAGTTGTGTGATAAATTACATACCCATAGATTAGGGTTATAAGGTAACTTCTAAGGGTTGCTGAAGGTGGCTTCGTGGCTCTAACGTAGTAACAATATAGGTACGCATAGAACAGTAAAACTATAGGGTGGGTGGATACCCATAGAACAGTAAAACTATAGCGTGGGTGGATACCCATAGAACAGTAAAACTATAGGGTGGGTGGATACCCATAGAACAGTAAAACTATAGGGTGGGTGGATACCCATAGAACAGTAAAACTATAGGGTGGGTGGATACCCATAGAACAGTAAAACCATAGCGTGGGTGGATACCCATAGAACAGTAAAACTATAGGGTGGGTGGATACCCATATAACAGTAAACTATAGGGTGGTTGGGTAGCCATAGAAGGCTACATCTAAGGGTCGATGTTCGTGGCCTGCCTCGGCGGGGCGGGCTCGTCGAGCAGCGTCTCGAGCTGCTTCACGTCGGTGACGGGCACGAGCACGCGTAGCGGCGGCACACGTACGCGGTCGGCGCCTCGCCCGATGGACGGATGCGGCTCAGCACTGCAATTTAAATTAAAGACAACATTTTGCGTTTTATATACCACCCGTAGTGGATAACGCGCCCGAGGGCGTGCGTTCAATCCCCAGTACTGTGAGGTATCTGTCATTTTATTTCTTGTGCCAGTCCGCCGTTAGACGTCCTTCATAAAGACCTCTTTTATTTTCCTACTATCACATGTAGTATACATTGGGACGAAAATGGGATTAGAACCCACGCGTGCAAGGAAAAATATCGTATGTTGGCAACACTCAAAGAAGTCATACCTTGAGGTTGCTGGCAACACTAAAAGAAGTGTCATTCTATGGGGTATAAATGGAGCTGCACGAAGCATTTCATTGTCTTTCTCTGGCTATCAACAAGAAGTATACGCGATAGTGCTGCCCAATCGGTATCACAAATTTAAACGTTAGAGTGGTGTTTCATTAGTGATATTAAAGTGATAAAATAAGTAATTATACCAGTGTTATTGTTGTGCAAAGCGAAACTACGGTGATTTGGTAAAAGTATTTACATTTCTACCTTCTTAGCTCAATAAAACAAAGTAAAGCTCGTGTTAGCTTTACGTGATGAACATAGTGTTTTTCTAGTATCTGGGTGTTTACATATCAAAAATGTATTTTTTAAAATTTTACGGCGCGTGACATGGGATGATGAGGGTGAGTGTCAAAAATCTTCACTGATTGCGTTACGTAATACTCGCTCACATTTACTCGTATATCACTGATGAAAAACTGAAACGTCTCTTCTTTAAGAAAAATGATATATATAGCGCTTTAAACTTATAAGATTACCCGTAATTCTCTGTGGTCGTGGTACTTGTGATCGCAGTGCCGACCGATCTGCTTTTTGATATATTTGGTATGTCCCCAGGCTCCGCTAATGGCATGGCCTAAGTTAAGAAATTTTAGTTGGATGTGTGTTTAATTAGTGGATGAAGTGGCGTGGAGTGCGACAGAGAGTAGGCGGGCGCACTCACGTATCTCGGACATACCGGCGGGCGATTCGGCCGCGGGGTCACTGACCGCCAGCACGCGGCCCGGCAGCAGCCGCGGAGCGCACCACTCGCACCAGCTCCAGGGTGCGCGGGTCCGAGCAGCCGCCCGAGATCAGCACCTTTCAATGTGATGAGGTTATCACGCGAGCAGCGGGTTCGCTGGTGCAAAGTGGTGACAAAGTGGACTCGCCAGCAGGCGGTTCGAATGGCGCTAAGTGGTGACAAAGTTGTCACTGGAGTAAGCGGTTCGCCTGGTGCTAAGTGGTGATAAAGTTATCACGCGGGCAGGCGATTCGCTTGGTTTGCCGGGGGGTGTTGACAAGTTGACAAGCGAGCGCGGCGCACCACTCGCAAGTGGTGATAAAGTTGTCACTGGAGCAGCCGCGGTTCGCATGGTGCTAAGTGGTGACAAAGTTAACAACACAGCAGGCGTCTCGCCTGGTGCTAAGTGGTGACAAATTTGTCACTGGAGCAAGCGGTTCGCCTGGTGCTAAGTGGTGACAAAGTTGTCACTGGAGCAAGCGGTTCGCCTGGTGCTAAGTGGTGACAAAGTTGTCA